TAACTAAACAAAAGAAAACCACCTCTCTTTTTTGGCCTAAAAGTTTTGATCTACAATATATTGAGTTTTCATTGTCTTTTTAGGAATGAAATTCTGTTCATTTTTAGGGTATTATCTTTCAGATTTAATGGAACGTACGTCTGTGGGTTGTTCAGAGATGGATTGTATATAGATAAACTGAGAGGAGAAATAAGCTTTCAGTTGTGCTTGCTGGTTTACATAGGAGGTGGACTACTACTTATTAGTACTTCAAGGATCTAATAAATGTGTTCCACTTACTCTTCTCAAACTGAAAATACATCATACTCCTTGACTAAATGTAGTTGGTTATGACACCCTTTACAGTTAAAGGTAGTCTAGGAGGTAGGATGCCTCTGATGCTCTTCCAAAAAGATATGTTGCTGTACTATTGACATCAAAGGGCTAGGACTGTATGACACAGGCTAACTCCTTTTTTTTTTTTTTAATGTGGCACGAAAATGCAAAGAACCTTTTAAAAGAAACCATTCTCTTTCTGGTTTTCCTGCTTTAATGTATAATTTCATTACACTGTGTGTTATTCAGATTTGATACTACCAGGTATCACTATAGACTAAAACTATTTTCAGGGAACCCTTTTTCAGAATTCAGCAGTTGAGAGCCCCTTTTCTGGTACTTTTAATTCAGTTATTCATAAAATCCTGCTTAGTGTAGCAGTAAAAGTCATGAATTCTGGGTGACAGGTAGCCAGGCTGGTTTTTTTTGGCAGAAGCTCACTTATTAATACTCACACCTGCAAGGTTTATGCCACACATTTAAATTGGTTCTCACATTGAAACTGGCCTTCTCATCTCCTGTGCAATGCTGGAACCTCAGCCATTCGCGCCACCAGTCTTTTTCACCCTTAAGACAGCATCTCCTCTTACTGTCTTTGGAGCATTTCCCCCGAGACCATTAATTTATATATTTTGGAGGGGGGGAAGGGAGGAAATTGAGTAGCGTTTTCGATCAGCCATCCTAAAAATAGCTCTTACTGAGGTAAAGTCTCAGAATTTCCCGTCAGATGTAACAGAGATCTTGTTGAAAGAACTGCACGTGCAAGAACCAGGGAGGGGAGAAGGAGAGACAGAGATTTAGCTCAAAAACTAGTGAAACAAAAAATCTACTGACTTGGTACTGCTCCAGTAAGTAAGAAAATTATTCTTTCACAAGGGTTCTCCATGTTAATTGCTTTAAAAAAAGTTTTTCTCTCTGCATAGAGAAGGCTGTGGAGTCTTACTACCACTCTGGTCATTGCCCAGATTTCAGGAAGGTACTTCCTCCCTTCCCAGCTCCCTGTCATTCTTGGACAAGAGCCCTAGACAGTGTTAAACTCCTGTGCATGTAGCCAGGTGAGAAAGATGGTCTACGTCCTGCAGCTGTGCAGAAGTGGCTAACTACTTCCTTCCTATGTCTTTCACGTGCCAGCGCTACAAACTCGACCTATTCATTACCTCAGTGGGCTTTCTACTGTATGACCAACTAGTTTGGAATTTGGTTTCCTTTGGTAGGAGATCAGGTGTTGTGTTCTTATAATTATGATTACTGCCTTTAAAATAACAGGTACCTGTTTCACAGAGTGAAAACGAAGGGGAAATTTTCAGTTTTCAAGTGCCTGCTGGTTTTAGTAGTAAAATTTTTATAGATTCATTTTTCTTTTGGGTTTTTTTTTTTCCTTATGTGTAGTAGCTGCTGTTGTACCTCAGTTATCAAAAAAAAAAAAAAACAAACAAGAAAGAACTGCTACAAAACCTACAAGATTTAAGACCCACTCTCTAAGAAAGTGACTGAATGAAACAGATACTTTGAAAATGCTGTGTAACTAGTTCCTAGCACAGGGATTCTTAAATTTCACTTGCTCACATACCACTGGTGGCCGTTGCTACCAGCTTTGTGATATCCGTGTGTACAGTATTTGCATCTTCAGACAGTATTTCCATGCTGGTAAATTGTGATCACCATGCTGGTGATATCTTTATCAAAGTTTGGGTGCCTCTGAACTTTAGAATTAGTCTTGGAATTTATTTCTGGAACCGCTACAGTAGTGATGAAAAAGCGTAGTGTAGTATTTCCTTGAGATCAAAGGTGTGCTTCAAGGGATGGTAAAACAAGGGACTTTTCTTGCATGAGTATCCAGTGACTCTGCCATCGGGAAGGTGTCACTTCCTGGAAAAAGTAAGCTCTTCCTGCAGAGTCCTCATTTAGTCCAATTTTCTTATCTTTCTGACGTGATGTTTCAGACTGTGTGTTTGAAAGACTTAAGTGTTGTGAAAGACCTGTACTGCATGAAAGATATCATCAAGGCATGCAGCCGGTTCCGGTTCTGTTTTGATTTAACACATGGTTTCATTTTATTGGATTAAATCAGATGGTAAGCAGTTCACCACATTATATATATTGTCTTTAATGTAGTAAATTAATGCAAGATTTCAGAGATTTCCTGGGGAATTATTTGGTTTTGATTTATACCATCATTTGGAATTCTGGAATCTCTGCAGTGGGTAACTGTGAAGTCTTAAGTGAAAGCCTTATTTCTTAGAAGTGTTTTGATTTAGCAAAAATGACACTTTCTTTTGTACATACTTGAACGGATATCTAAAATGTAGGGAATAGTTGTCCTCATTTCATAACTATTTTAATGTAAAATTTGAACTTTTTGCATCCTCTGAAATGCTTAAATAACCTTATTAAAAAGGCAAAATTTTCACTTCCTCTGATTCTGCTTCATAGTGTAAAGCAAACAACAAAGGCCACAGGATGCTTATATGTATGGACTAGTTAAGAAGTTTGAAGACGTTACCTGTAAATAAGTTGTCTTTTCTACAATGACACTCCAAATGACTGCCTGGGGAGAGGGATTTATTCATACCTGCACTTTACAAAGAACAGTCCTCTGTAGATTCATATTGGAACGGAATTCTTCATGTATGGACCTTCCCACAGTGGGGAGTTACATTTTTAATATAGTCCCTGTGCATGCCAGATCTTTTTGGCACTCTTCCTTTTCTTTTGAGTTTTCAGTGTGGAGAATGTGGCAAGGGAGGGAGCAAAGTGTTCATCGCATAAAAGTCTCCTAAGAAATAACACCTGCTAAAGTTTATTTCTCATTACTCACCTCGAGAATTTCTAGAGTGACAGGTCCAAGGAAATGATAGGTCTGTGTAAAAATGCAAGGAATGGTCTGTGGGGTCAGGAATGTGAAGACCGCCACAGTGTCATCACAAGATAATTTCTGTCATACGCTCTTTCTGATGCTTCTCCTGCATTATCTGACATGAGACAATCTGGATTCAACAGTCTGATTTTTTTGTTTTGATTTTTGTTTCACAGTAGGAAAGCTAATTTAAATTGTACCTGTAACTATCTTTGGTATCAAGCTGTGCAAAACCTGCAGTATCATATCATTCCAACTGAAAAACATAACTCATCTCAAGCAAGTTAGAAAGTTGGCCCATGTTTTCCCATGTTTTCTCAGAATGCCTCCCATGTTAAACCTCGGCCACAGTTCACATTCACTGAAAGCTACTCAAAAAGGTAACGTACAGAGGTCACTTAAAAGCAAAATTAGGTTACTAAAATGACCCTATGTCGTGGTTTAACCTGGCAGGCAGCCACATACCATGCAGCTGCTCTCTCACTCCCCTCGCTGGTGGGACGGGGAGAGAATCGGAAGGGTGAGAGTGAGAAAAACTCATGGGTTGAGATAAAGACAGTTTAATAGAACAGAAAAGGGAAAATAATAATAATAATGATAGAATATACAAAATGAGTGATGCATAATGCAATTGCTCACCACCCGTCCTGACCGATAACCAAGTAGCGATCGGTACTTCCTGGATCACATCTACCATTCATATACTGAGCATGACGTCACATGGTATGGAATACCCCATTGGCCAGCTGGGCTGGCTGTCCTGATTATGTTCCCTCCCATCTTGTGTACCTAGCTCAGTCAGTAGGCATGGGAACTGTCCTTGGACTAGCAGGGTACTTAGCAAGAACTGAAAACATCAGTGTGTTATCAACATTCTCCTCATACTAAATCCAAAACACAGTACTAGGAAGAAATTTAACCCTATCCCAGCCAAAACCAGGACACCCTAAAAATATTCATGTGTCTAAAGATTGTCACAGTTGTAGTGGTTACGTAAAATGGCTTGTTTGTATAAATGGTCATGACATAGTCTTTACCCTCATGCTGTTCTTCCCGCTTGTTCTTCCATTCCAGATTGCTCTGCTGTGCTTCACATCTCTAACAATACAGTCAGACTGCTTCCTCCTACGGCTTCTCATTGCCTCAGCTCCTCATTTTGCTTCCAGTTTGTGCTGGGACAGGACACGGTGCTCTCAGTCCTGGTGCCAAGTGCCCTAGCAGCCCCTTGTTATATACAGCAGCTCATTCATCAGGCTGATGACATCTTGCTTAATATGTATTTACATACAAAATTGTTTTAGTGTTCAAATGAGACCACTGCTTCTAGTTAGCAGAAACATTTGAATGGATTAAAAATATCTGGAAAAAAGTGAAAATGCAACATTTGGTCACATTTGAAGAGGTTGGCCAAAATTCTTGCTTACAGTTGGAGTATTAGAAGGCCAGAAAGCAGTCAGATCTGATGAGCAATATTTCTGTGGTCGCAGAAGCCCAGAGCTGTCATGCTTGGCTACTGTACCATCCTCCTTCCTTCAGCTCAAAAGCAGGATGTGTATTTTGGTATTGCATTGTAGCTGTTGTGTGCTTCCTAGAGATGATACTCAGTATGTGTCCCAGACTGCTCTCACGTACTCTGTGACTTGAAGTGGTGCACCCCTTGAATGTATAAGGAAAGCCTCCATTAGATGGCAAACAAAATTATTTGCAGTATGCAAACACCAGCAATATGTTATTCAATCTGAGTTGAATAACAACTTCATTTCAGAAAAGCTCTCT